CCCTGGAAGGCAAAGTGCAAAGTGTTTTAAAACTCACAGCATAGGGGCACCTGGGTGGCTCAGTCGGTTACCCAGCCAACTCTTGAATTCAGCTCAGGTCACGATCTCAGGGTCCTGGGATCAAGCCCTGTGCTGGGCTCTGCCCTCAGCGGGGAGTCTGCTTGGGATTCTCTGCCTCTCCCTCTCCCTCTGCCCCTTACCGGGCACAGGCACGCTCATGTGTTCCCTCTCTCTCTCTCTCTCTCTCTCTCTCAGCTCACGCTCATGTGTTCCCTCTCTCTCTCTAATATAAATAAATAACTTTAAAAAAAATTCAGTGTAAAGTGACTATAAAAGCAATCAACATAAAAGTGAGGTTAACACTAACCAATCCACACAACGCATGCATAATGTTAAGAGCAAATATTGCTTAAAATAAGGTCACTTGGTAAGAAAATATAAATCTGTAAAACAGGCTGACCTTATCACTCAAGTTTAAAAATGCTTAATTATAATTTGTGAAGATTCTGGTTTCTGATAAATACTATTAGCACAGGAAGTTAATAGGTATCTTTTATAAATTTAAGTTGACATACTTTACTTGCCAGTTACTTTACTAAATTAGTGGAAGGCAACATTAATATTGTTATCCTCTTTTAAAAGTTTGAAATGTACCTTGAGAACCTAAGTAACAAGGAAGTAGGGACAAGGGGAAAGAGACAGAAGGAAATTAACATTAATTGGGAACCTATTCTGTGTTAGGGCTCCATCCATAATACAACCTTGGGAAACAGGAATTGCTATTTCCATTTTACAGACGGAAAAAGGGAGCTTAACAACCATAAATAATGTGTTCCTGGTCACACAGATAATAAACAGTAGAATAGGCTATAACCTAAATCTGTCTGATTCTATTGCCTATAATACAAAAAAATCAGAAGTATCTTAATTCATCTGGCATTTTGATCATCTTAAATTAAATAATACACTTTATGAAGAGGTATATATTTTTATCACAGCGCAAAACAAGAAAGACCAAAACAGCAACAACCTAACAGATGACTTGCCCTCCAGGAGCTTACAATTAAAGAAAATGTTCCCACGGGCACACACACACACAGGTTAAGGAATACAATGTAGTGATGAATCACTCCTTGAGTGAGGCCATCCATAAGTGATAGGGGAACTCAGAGAAGCCTGGGCTCCATGTGGTTTCAGCAGTTCAGAAGGGCTTTATGAAAGATGCAAGCCCACAGCTGGATCCTGGAGATGGAAAATGTTGAACAGGGGTAATGAAAGGTCCTCCAGGACAGGGAACAGCAGAGGTAAGGATGAACACGATGAATATGAGTAACAGTGAAGAGGCCAGCAGGACTGCTTTAAAAAGTAAAGGACTAAGTGGAAACAACCCAAGTGTCCATCAACTGATGAATGAATAAGCAAAATGTGATACACCCACCCAGTGCAATACTACTCAACAATAGAAAGCACTGACACATGCTACAACACGGATGAACTTTGAAAACATTACGCTAAATGAAAGCAGTCAGTCACAAAAGGCCACATGCTGTATAATTTCATTTACATGAAATGTCCAGAGAATAGACAAATCCATAGAGACAGGAAGTAGACTAGTGATTCGCAAAGGCTGGATGTGGTAGAAAGAAATAAGGAGTGACTGCTTATAGGTACAGGGTTTCTTTGGAGGATGATGAAAATGTTCTAAAATTGATCGTGGCGATGGTTGCACAACTCTGTGAATACACTAAAATCCACTGGACTGCACACTTTAAATGGGTGAAGTGTATGGCAAATGAACTACAGCTCAATCAAGCCATTAAAAAAAAAAAGTTGAGGGCCTGGGGGAACATCACACTGCACAGCTAAGATGGAGTCCCTTAGGCCAAGTTTGAGGGTCTGGAATTTATCTGGTAGGCAATCAGAAATATCTAAGTAAAGACTTACCTAATGAAAGCACAGTACACAAACTTAGGGCTCTTCTCTAACAAAATTATTCACATATTTTAAATACATTCCTAAAATATATGCCAAAATCACAAAGACAACAGAGAATAGGAAAAAGATGATGCGATAGGATTTTGATGAAGCCACAAGCTGTGACTATTAGGAAAGCTGTTTTGCTTCATCACTAAATGCCACAGATATGGATGTATCAGCATCGTATTTATGCAAAACCACAAATTCATCTGTGTCATGTCTTCAAATACTGTGATGTTCTAAGCTTAATCATGAAAACTGCATTAACAATTGATGTGCCATATTTTAAGAGTGAGAGAATGAACTGTGTAATTCGTTTTTCATTGGATGACAGTACTCTACAGATAATGTTTTATATATTAGATTCACTTTAAATGCTATCAGAACCTCCACTCCACTGATACAAAACATGTGTGATGCAAACACATTTGCCTGAAGTCTAATTTAACCTAAGATTCCAAAAGAGTTTTATTATACAAAGTAAGAAAACTAAAGAGACAAATCCGACATTCAAAGGGGGAAAAAAAATCTGGATATTAAATATCTAATACAAAGGAAAAGGCAAAGCACTCAAAATCAATCTGAAAATCAAAGAAAAAAAAAACAGGGGGCACCTGGGTGGCTCAGTGGGTTGACATCTGACTCTTGATTTCGGCTGAGGTCATGATCTCAGGGTCCTGGGATTTAACCCCACAGGCTCCGTGCCCCATGCTCAGCACAGAGTCTCTTGTCCCTCTCCCTCTCCCTCTGTTCCTCCCCCTCTCTTTCTCCCTTCCCCCCGCACCCCCCCCCCTCCCTCTTTTTCTCTCCCTCTGTCTCCAGGATTAGGTCTGTCTTTTCCTCTCAAATAAGCAAATAAAATCTTAAAAAAAAAAAAAACAGATCTCAGTATGAGGTTCTATAGCATTGGGAAGTACAATGAAAGAAAAAAAGGAACAAAGTACATTTAAAATAAAAGGCTCAATACAAGAGAGCAGAAGAGGCTGTAACAGAGGCAAAGTTTGGAACTCATCTATAAGACAATCCCATACCTTCCCCGGAATCCCAAGGAAGAAAGAACCTTTCAGGCAGTGTGCTGTTATCCCTTCAGAAGCTGGCCTAAAGGTGAAATCCCAGTTTCCCCTAGGAGGTGGTGAGATGGTAAGAATACAAAGAAGAACTCCGCTAGAGAACCCATACACAACCAAACTAGTGTTCGCCTTCTGAGTCACCTTGCAAAACTCCTTCAAGGTAGATAAGCCACGAGAAACTAAAGGAGATATCAGATCTCTTTTAAAATTCTCGTCTAAGGAGAGGACCCATCTGTCTCTGAAAGGCTTTGTAAATTCCAGAACTGGAAGAAACTTGTGCTCTGTGTCTGAGAAATACAGACAACTTAGATGACCCGGTTCACTAACAAACAATAAAAGCAAAATAGAAAACAAGTACACTGTCCTAAAAAAGAAGCCTTGTCACTGATATCTAGAATAAGGTATCTGCTGTCACAAGTAAGCAGAGCAAGACTCTCCATTTCCTAATTGTAAGCCAGAGTTTATGCAAAAGAAGAGACTTCAGCAGGAGTATCCAGGGGGAACTTTTTACAAATCATTAACTGCTGTATGTTAAAAGAAACTTATCCAAACGTTCATCAATTGTCTACCTACTCCAAACAAAAGAACTCGGGGGAAAAGGCAGAAGTTTACAACTACTTTTCACTGTATTGGACATGTTAATTACTAAGGAATAGAGTGCTTCAAATATAATAAAGTATCAAAAAAGATTAAACACTGAATTATTCTCTATGTAAACATCAAAAATACATTACTGTTAATCCATACATAAATAAAAGTTTTCTTTTAAATAAATAGGGAGAAATAAGGACACCATGCTACCAAAGATCACCAAAGGAGGGGAAATAACACCAACATAAGGTCTAATACCCAGAAACGTTTTCAAGTGATAGAATTATGAGAATGGTCTAAATTACAAGCATGCTACAATTCTGACTAAACTAAGAACAGAAACCCAAGAGGCCATGAATAAGCTAAAAAATAACTAAGAGACTGGAAGTCATGGGGAGGGATTTTTAATTTTTTACAGGATCCTCCACTGAATAACATGGAACTAGAAGCATGACCTATAAATTAGAAAGGAGAACAAGAAACTTGTCAGCACTTGAAACTGGCAAAGCTGACCTAAGCTAAGGAAACAAGGATGATAAATATCTCAGGAGGTAAATAACACTAGTTTTCAAAATCTGTTCTAAAAAACAAAAGGGAAAACTAATTTGCCAAAGGGAAAAACATGTGGCTGTAAGTTAAAGAGAAATTTTAAAACAAATATACACAAAATACCTTGGGAAAATTTCTGCTTTGGAAGTATTTTCACAGATAAGTTCATTAATGTTCACTGCATTAGCTTTTAAGAAGTTAAATCTAAAGTTTTTTTAGTTGAGAGAAATTTTATAAATATTTGCAATAATCACTTGCATTAAGCAATTCTGCAGAGCTTGCAAGATTAAACTTAAATGAGAGTAGGCTCAATTAAATTTTAAAATCTTTCAGACAAAATTACAAGGCTTACATAGCAAAAGTAATATAAAGCAACAAATTGAGCTACTCTATTTGTGTGGAGTTTTTTCTATATAGTAAATAGCATGTAAGTTCATACTCTATTATTAACTTAAAATTAATCACTGGACATTCTTTAAGTCTCATCCAAACTTACTGGATCTATGGGAGAACAACCAAAGCTGGAAAATAAAAAAAGAAGGAGATCCAATTCAAGTCCTTAAGCTGTTCTGTTCCTCCTCCTCCAAGAAATATTCTTTAAGTTGGTTGTCTTACTGGATTTCAATTCTCAAACATGTAAGTCCATACCAAAATCTTAGCTTACAACATAATTAAATGCTATGCGTGCCAAAGTACTCCGTTCAAGCGGTTGGGTAAATCTGAACATAACCGTAACGACATTTCACAACGCGTTCATCCATGCTGTGCCACAGGGAACGAGCAACGAATTCACAGAAAGACTTCGAGCAATACCTGAGCAGATAAACAGCCCTTTCAATATCACTGAGGTCTTCATCAACTGTCAATCTTTCTATTTCTTCTGGTGTCTGTCAAGTGTAAAATACAAATTATGCACACAAACGTGGATTAGTCTTGCCCCCCAGTGACCCTCCGGGAACCCCATATAAGTAGAGACTAATGAAAAAGTTTCGCAATTAAGCAGTTATCATTGAAAACTAATCAAGAGTCTGAGGACTCCAGGTGCCGACCTCAACCACAGAGGTCTCCGTCTCGAATTGTTGGGTTGGGGTGGTGGAGTTTTTATGTTTTTGTTTTTTTTTCTTTTTTAAACTATTCTAGCTTGAAAATTACAGTGTGGCTTCATAACATTGCCGAACTCGATTTTATATGCATATATAAAATACATACGTACTTTTAAATCTCTAATACCCCAAAGCTGTTTCTCCAGCATTTTCCACCCCAGGAAATGCTACAAGGGGGATGGAGGCAAACTGCAGCCGAGAGAGAATGAAAAAGACGAAATGTGGAGTGGGGGAAGGGAAGGAAATAAACTCTAGGGCTGGAAGGAAATCAAAGATTCGCGATATTGCGGCAGGTGGGAGTGAGAAGAGCTCAACCGAGCTTTTGAGAGGACGGCTGGGGGAGGGGGTGGTCCCTAAAGTAGGTTTACTGGCAGCGAGGGTTGGAGGCTGGGACGAAGATGACTCTGCGGGGTGGGGGAGCGAACTGAAGGTTGACTCCCTCAAGGCGGGGAGTGGGGATCAGGGTCCCAGGTGGAGTCTTGGAGGGGCTGGGAAAAAAGGACGTGTGGTGACTCAGGATGGGGGCGAAGGGTCGAGAGGGCTTTGAAGATCCGTAGCGGGACGACGGTAGCCTGGGCGCTGGGTGGGAGGTGAAGGGAGGCCTGGCCGACTAGGGGGCAGAGGCACCCGAGCTTGCTCGGATAGAGGAAGGGGAAAGTGGGATCCGGCGTGTCTCCGGGAGGAGGGGCGGATCTGTGTTGACTGAGGAGTGGGACGGGGTCCGGTGGGGGGGGGCACTCAGGAGGGGACAAGGCGGCGGCGGCCTCGAGGGGCAGCTCCCGCAGATCGGAAGGAAGAGGGGCCACGGCCGTCCGGGAGGGGCGGCTTGGGGGACGACGCTGGACGGTCCGTTCCTGGGGGCGGGTTGGGGAAGGCGCACGGGCCGGGCTGGGCCGGGGGACTGGGGGAGCCCAGGGCGTCCGAGGGGTCAGTCCCTCGGGGAGGGGGGTCCGAGCTGGGAGAACCGAAGCTGTGTCGAAGCAGGGGCGCCGGCAGGGGCCGGTTTAGGGTGACACGGCGACCGGAGGAGGACTGAGGGTCCAGCCCGACTCCGAGAGGGTCCCGGGCCGCCTCGGGAAGAAGGGGACGGGACGGGGTCGGGGCCCGGGCCAGTCGCCAGGCTCCCTGCGGGCAGTTCCTCCTCCCCGGGGCGCACCTTGAGGCTCCGGCGGACCGGCCTCTCGATGATGGTGAGCTCCTGCAGGTCCTCCATGTAGCCGAACAGGCTGTTCTGACTGAAATCCATCGCGGCAGCGGCGGGCGGCGGCGGATGCATGG